TATACACGTGTACACCAAAGGACCACCTTGGGTGTCATTCTTCGGGTACTGTTTACCTTATATCCAGTCAGGATCTGTCATTGGCCTGGGGCTTCCCTAGGAGCCCTGACTGACTGCACAGTGAACCCCAGGGCTGTGCCTGGCTCTGCCACCAAGTACTTGATACCATGGCCAGCTTTTTATGTGTGTCCCGAGGAGCTAAGCCAGGCGCTCGCCCTTACATGGAAAGAACATTACCAGCCCAGTCTTCTCTCTACTTTCTCCCCCATTTAAATTTTGTTTCTTAAGTTCGAATGGAACTCATGTGTTTCTCTGGGGTATTTTCATACATTGGGTCGTTTTACTTTGTCTTATTCCGCTCTCACTGTCTCTCCCCTTCCTGCTGGTTCCTGATCCCGGGTCTTCTGTCCCTCTGCTGTCACGTTCCATGTAGACCTTTACTTTTCCTCATTGCTACTCCCCTTCAGACCACGTCTTCCCCACTCACTGTGAGCATTGTGTGTGTGTATACACACATATATATGACTACTGTTACCGTCTTAATCCATTAACATATTCAGTACAGTTAGACCTGTGTTTTATTTATGTCTAGTAATCGAATGAAAAGAGAAAAAAGTTGATTTTTTTCTTTTATTTTTAGGAAAATCATGTCCTAATCCTGGAGAATTGCAAAATGGTAATATCAACATACCAACGGACATATTATTTGGTTCAGAAATATATTTCTCATGCAACACAGGGTAAGTTTCATCACACTAAAGCTTTAAGTTTAATTAATGACAACAAATTAGGAGTTCAGTAGACAATGATAGATTTGTGACCTGTTCACTAGTTGGTAGCAAAATAATCCCCCATAGTGAGAGTGGGGGTGATATGAACAGTGCATAGTGATGCACACTCATGTAAATACGCATAGAGATGCACACGCATGTAAATGTGCATAGCGATGCACAGGCATGTAAATGCGCATAGTGATGCACATGCATGTAAATGTGCATAGAGATGCACATGCATGTAAATGTCAGAATGAAAGCTATTGAAAATAAGTGGAAAGACATAATGCCTTTCCCAAAGAACCCTTGCCATAAGCTAATTGTAAATTTAGTATCAGTAATGTGGGCCAGGAAAAGATTTTTATGTTTCTAACATCTCTAGATTATTAGATTCCAATACATATGTAATTATAAATATGATTAGTGAAGAAACAATTGAAATTTGTTGATGATACAAAAATAACAATCTTTACGGTGTTAAAAATCAAACCAATTTTAAACTGACTTAAATATTAATTTGCATCTGAGTTTTTGTATGCAGACACACTGTGAGGTCATGGGCTTAAAAAATGCTGAGTGTGAAGACGCTCCTCCTAATAGAAGGTCGCTAGGGCTTTTTTAGTTCTTTGTGTAAACAAGCAAGTTCTTTAATTAATGCCATCAGCGTCTCAGGCAGTGGGAAACTTCAGTTCATTTCTTTGTGTTTCCAAGCTAGGTTGCCGCTCCCCCACCACCACCACTTTATATCAGGTAGAGGCAGCACTGAGTTTAGTGGGTCCCGAGGAGCACATGGAATTAGGGGAGAAGGGTACCTAGTGGACCTAGAGGAGGGGTTGGAAGCGGAGGAAGTGGTTTTGGAGCTGATCAAACTCCTCACAGTCATACGTAAAGTTCTCAGAACGTCTTCTTAAAAACAAATGAAGCAAAATGCATTTCCAACTTTAAGACAGGAAAGAGGTAGGAGCGCTTTGCCACTGCCTTTATTAAACAGAGATTCGGTTGGGTCAGGAGTTTACCGTAGTGTAAGCTCTTGCCGTGCTACGCCATGAACCCTTTAAATATAAATGCACTCTGTTATTCATGAAGCCTGTTCGTTTAGAATTTAGAATAAAGGGTTTCATCAAACATGATTTTAGAAGGTTTTCTTCATTTAAGTATTTTCTATATAGTAAGCTAATGAAGCATTTTGCATGTCTGGAAGTCTTGCCGTTTCAGTATCATTTCCATGAACTAAACAGTTTTCTTTTAAATTTCAATGGATATGTTTATCAGCTGTCATTTTGTCTCCGTCTTCTGGTATACTCAATCTTTTAAAATAATGTACTGGAGAATGAAAAAAAACCAGACTTAAGTATCTGACTATAGCAGCCTTCTCTTCTCCTTTAGGTACAAGCTAGTTGGTGTAGACTCTGTCTTCTGTTACGTTACGGAAAAGACTGTCGAATGGAGTGACCAATTCCCAGAGTGCATAAGTATGTTTCCTTTTGAAAAGCCTGAGTCCTCACATTGTGGGGCCAAAGGATTAATGAAATCAATTATTTCTCATTTAAGAATTATTCACAGCCTGTATTTGTGGTACCACAACTTTTCAGTGTCTCTACTAATGACAGACTTAATTTATCAGCAATGGGAGGGCTCCTAAAGCTACCTCTTAGCATTAATATCCTTAACTACATGATAATTTCATTAAGAATTAAGAACTGACTTTGGTTTACATTATACTTGGTCATTTGCTGTCTAACCGTTCCTTGTCATAATCAGAGAAGCAGGAGATCTCCCAGTTTCATGGAAGGAAATGTCCCTCAGAGTCCCCACGGTTTCATCTCTCAAAAGTGTGTCCCATCAAGGCATTTAATATAGGTCTTTTACCACAAATGTTCTTCCTCTAAGACCCAGTGTTGCCTACCTGAGTCTTTCTAGAGTTGGTTATCAGCTGAGATAATTGCCTAGAAGGTTTTAAAGTAGGACGTTTTTATCATTAGAGGAATCCAGTCACCTGTAGGGCTATTAGAGACATGGCTCCCTTTAAAAACTGAGAGAAGGGAGATGCCTGCAGTTTGTTTATTTGTTTGAGGGCTAGGTTTCTGGTCCTCAGGTATGCTGAGGCCACTACGTCCCACTAAGCCCCAAAATGTAGACTCCATTCCTTTGATATTTAACTTACACCTTCTTCAAATGACTTCTAAAAATGATTTTGAAATTAATGCTAAGTCCTGTGTGTGTGTGTGTGTGTGTGTGTGTGTGTGTGTGTGTAACTAGGAGGATAGCTGAACAGACAGTCCTTTGTGGACTGACCCTCTGGTGGAATCAGTTGCCATGAAACACCTCATAGGAAGCCTGCTGTCCAGGAGCCCACTCCCGTGACACCAATCGTGGGCCCACCCTGCTAACCCACCATGTCATTTCCACTCGCTACCATCGTTATGTCCCACTCACAGTGAAAGGCTTTGTAACGACACTGAAAGATGAGGCCGAAAGAGGATCTGGAATACATAGTTTGTTGGCCCAGACAAGCTGGCCTAAAGCCTGGGTAGGCGGTTTTCCAGGCTGAAGCCAGCATTTTTGCTAGCCGATGCTGCCACTGGGCCACAGAAAAGTGCCCATCAGGGATGCGCCCTAGTGCAGAAGTGTTTGCAGAGAGCCCACATCCTGTTTGTGCTGCACCCAAGCAACAGCCTGTCTTCTTGACTCTCAGCCACCTCCCCATCAGCAGCTACTGATAGCCACGTTCCCCTGGTAAATCCCTTGTCCCTGGGCAATCCAGTGTTACTGCCTATTCCTGCAATCCCAAGTGCGAGACTCTATTTTTGATTTCCACATTAACTTACTTTTTCTTTTGATTTTGTTTTGACATCACCAAAAGGAAAAATGGAAAGTAAATTCTTCTTTTTCCCCATAGTATTTTTATTAATTATTTGTGAATTTCATACAATGCACCCCGATAACATTCACTTCCCATTCCTTCCAGATCTAACCTCCCACCCTTGCAGCCCTCCCCCTCAAAAAAACCAAAAAACAACACCCAGTCCAATTTGTGTTGCCCACATACTTGCTGGAGCATGGCCAGCCCCTTAGAGAAGACGGAGTCCTCTGAAGAGTAGCTCTTCACAGGTGATTGGAGGTGAACTGCTAGCTGGTGACAGTTCAAGTGTGCAGCCTTGGTACTTAGATGGGTGAGGGTGCCCTGGTCTCCAGTGTGACTCTGGTCAGAGGAAAATGACTGAGCAATGATGGGCACATTCAAGGATCGTCTTTGGTTAAATGCCAACACGGCATGGGCAGGGGGCGGACTTGACTGAATGAAGCCTCACTCTTGGGAGGATCTGTTTTTCCTATCTCACTGTTGTTACTTTATTATTACTTTTTGCTTAATTTCAGCTGACTGATGGTACCTGCTTACCTTTGATCAATGCCTCTCTACTATGGCTGTCTTCCCAGACAGTCCTCTTTGTTTTAGCTTCTTTAAGGTATTTTTCTTTACTACTTCCACAATATGTGGAAGTACTTGCTGTGTTTTACTCCCTTCTGTGTTACTTCTAATACCATTTATTTCTCTCCATCTGGACTCTTGTACTGAGGACTACTCCTAACATTATTAAGACCAAGGTTTGAATATTAACAATGACCCATGGCCCCAGAGCTACTGTTCCCTTTCCTACACAACTGTGAGGCTCCTGGATCCTCTGGCACACATAAGAATGCAGCAAATCCTATACATTCGAGCCACGTCTACCATGAACTTAATGCTGACTTCATTGTCCTTTGCACTAGTAATGAGTACACTACCAACAAAGACCGCCCTCAAGAATGGGAGCTAGCAGAAAGAACCCAGGAGGAGGAGCTGGCACAGGGGATTCTTGACTTTGAGTATCTCCTATACTGGAGGAATGGGTGGTAGCATGGGTGGTCACTGGACATATTCACTAGTCCTATAAATACTTCAGTTAGTACAAGAAAGCCGCAGTAGGGCAGTGCACACCTTTTAAATGTGGGGTCTGTGTAGGAACCTCAGTAGGTAGAATTTCCCGGGTTTGGAGAATGGGCTTTCCTTGTATCTCATTACTACTTCATTCATAGTCTGCCCAGGGTGATACTTCTGAAACACAGATGTTCCATGTCTTTTCCTTCTTCAAGCTTATCAGAATGTCTGAGCAATTAGAGATCTTAGCTCCTAGTGGCGTTGAAGGCAAACACCATCTGCCTGCTTTTCTGCACTTAGATTTTGCCTTATTTACTTTGTTGAGTCAGGTTCTAACTGTAGCCCAAACTGGTCTCACATGCGTGACAGCAATCATCTTGTTCCAGGCTCTGGGACTCCAGTCATGAGGCACCAGGCCTACCTATCTCATGATCTCCCCACCCCATGTATATTTGTATGTATATGTTTCCAGATGCACACATGTGATATTCATATGTGCGCACACATACATGTATGGTTCAAAGGACAACTTCAGCTGTTATTCAGCAGGAGTTGTTAATATTGAATTTTTGAGACAGTGTCCAACTGACCTGGGGTTGCTTGATTTGGGTAACCTACCCATCAATCAGCCCCAAGGAGCTGCCTGTGTCTACCTCCCCAGTTTTCACAGGAGCACACCACTAAGCCCAACTTTTTAATGTGTGTTTTAGGAAATGCTGATACAGGAAGCAGTTCTGACCAAGCTGTCACGCAGTGCTACCCCGTAATTTATTGTACCTCTGCACTGTCCTTCTATATCTGGATCAGTCTAGAAGGTCCTTCAACCCCTTTGCCTGCCTGTGTCTTCCCCATCAAGAGTCCTTCAGGACTTCCTAGGCAGTTCAATGTCTCTTCTCTGTCTTTTCATGTCTGCTTCTGGTTGCCTTTACATTATATTGACGTAACATCTCCCGTCTCCTTCAACACTAGATTTTTTTTTTAAATTAGAATATTTAAAAAATACCAATCCATGTTTCCACTCCCTCCCCTCCTCCCATTTCGTCCACATACCTCCCCACCCCACTCCCATCCAATCCTCAGGGCAAGGCACATTCAGCAGTAGATTTTAAGACCCAGGAAGTATTCTTCAATTGGCTTTTTTTTTCTTCTTTTTATAGGACAGTGCTATGTGTTAATTGCTCTGAGTATGCTTGGACAGGTCCAGTGGGTGGTTCTTTCTTAGTTTAAAATGTATCATGAATTTGCTAGTATCCTATGCCTGCTTAAGTACCTTTATGGCAGTTTAATTTGATGTGCACACGGAATGATATTGTTTTCTTGATTAACTTAATAGTGCTAAAGAACACGAAATCCATTGGTCTTGCTATTATATTAACTACGAGAAAGAGATCCTTCTTACAGTATAACCATTACAGCATAGCTTTATTTATTTGTTATTTTTAATTCAACTGGTTGTAATTTCTGCCCCGTGTAAGGTCTCAATTAATCAGTCTTCCCTAAAAATCCCTTACCCTAGAGGTAAGAATGTAGACTTTGTGCCACCGTCCACAGGTTGAGAACAATTCTAATAGGCAGTTGTTAGCATCCCTTCTGTGGTAACGCTGAGCTCAGAGGGGGAAAAAAAGTTGATTTTTAATTGTTTCAAAAAATTTTAGCATGTTTTTGTCTCATTTATAAAAGCAGTTTTTTCTTCATTTAAAAAGATATTTCGATTCTTTTAAAGAAATTCTTTGTCCAGATCCACCACCAATTAACAATGGAAATATACGAGGAGAAAGTGAAACTTACGGCTATAGACACACTGTCACCTATACATGTGCCAAAGGCTTCGTCCTGGTTGGAAACAGTTCCATTTATTGTACCGTGAAAGATGATCAAGGAGAATGGAGTGACCCAGCACCCAGGTGCATAGGTAATGTGTTATATTCCTCTTTGTATACACACTTTCTCATTTAGTGTATATTTATGCATACTTACTGTTTGAATGCTTTTTAAGACAAGTAAAATCATGTGTTATTTAACTCACCAATTGTTGTATGAGTGGGGCCCCTTGTTCCGGTTGCCCGGCTAGCTTATTCCCGAAATACTCACACAGAAATTGTATTAATTAAATTACTGCCTGGCCCATTAGCTCTAGCCTCTCATTGGCTAACTCTCGCATCTTGATTAACCCATTTCTATTAAATCTGTGTATCACCACGTGATTGTGGCTTACCAGCAAGAGTCTAACCTACGCCTGTCTCAGGCAGGAGATTCATGGCGTCTGCCACACTGCCCTTTTTTCCAGCATTCTGTTCTATCTACTCCGCCTATCTAAATCTGCCCTTTCAAAAGGCCAAGGCAGTTGCTTTATTCAATCAATGAAAGCAAAACATAGTCAGAAAGACCTCCTATACCAACCAATCAACTGAAAAGGTTTCCTGTTAAAAGATAGCAATGTAAGGCAGTGTGTGTGTGTGGGGGGGGGGGGGTGTCACACACCTTTAATCCCAGCACTCAGGAGGTTCTCTGAGTTTGAGGCCAGCCTGGTCTACAGACTGAGTTCCAGGACAGCCACAGGTATACAGAGAAACCCTGTCTTGGAAAAAAGGTAGAAATGTCTCTTTCCTCCAAATGATTATCAGAATTCAGCGTCCTGTCCTCTTTGAGACAGACTTGTAACTCGTTAACTAATATATACCAGATGCCCTGGGCCGCAGGCTGTCCTCAGTTGGGCCTTGATCCATTTTCAGTGTCTTTTTGTTGTCTCTTGTGGAGCTTTGGGGTAGAGTAGAGCGTCAGTCACTCACCTGGGTGTTGCCCTACCCTAATAGCTGAGACCAGGAGTCAAGCTGCCTGTCCTACCAAGCCCAGGAAACTAAGCATGCATGGAAGTCTCTAGCAGAGTAACGGGGCCACTGCAGAAAGTCAGAGTACGGTCCAGGTTCCTGAGGTATAGTGACACTGGCCTGTTGTCTTAGGGCCTATGCTTTGCTATCTCGGTCACACTATCTCAATTGATGCTGAGTCTGAATCTGAGTGCAAATACTGGCTGGCTCTTACTCAGAACTTTGGGTATAGAAAACTGAGTTTTTTTCAATGTACCCAAGGCACCATGCAAAGAAGGGTCATGGCTTTGTTGAATAATCAAGGCCGAACCCATAGACACTTTACCACAAAGGGTGTTTCTTTTGAATGGCCTCCTGCTTCTGGTCTCTTGTTTAGTTAGATATTAGTACCAAAAATATTGAATGGACAGAAAGAAAAACTAGACTAATTTATAGTCATCATTGAAGAATTTCACATCCCTATTCCTATAACTAAAAGATAAAAAGGACGAGAAAAGGAAAAGATCACTAAGCACAGAGGAGAGTGAGCCACAGTGGCTAAGGTTAAGCAGATTTCATGGAAGAGTTGAACCCCATAATAGCAGATGATCAGTTTCTTCCAGGACACAGTTACCAAAACTGACCGTCTGCTGGCCTCAGCCCTGGTGCTGTATCCATAGCCTTCTTCCTGACCACAGTGGGATTAGATGGGGCATCAGTAACAAAATGCTAACTAGGAAGTTCCTGGAAACTGTAAACTAAGTGGGAGTATATAAATCCTTTTTATTTAAAATAAGAATTTAGTGAAACAAAGAATAATTTGTAGTTATGTATGAAGGTTTAAAAATGAAATAGCTGCCATAGAAAGCCCACTTACTCCAATCTCACCATCACTGTCTGACAACCTGGGAGGAGCTGTGCTATGTGGCAGGGGTTTTGAGTTGTCTCTTATGAGAAGCGTGTGACATAGATTTAAAAAAAATCAATAAATAAAAGCAATGAAAATGCATTTATCACCTGAACCTTAGAACCTTGTGTCTAGTGGGCAGGACGTCATGGCAGATATAATCAGTTGCTTCAGGGACAGGCATCCCTGTGAACAGTAACTTACCTAGACCGTCCTCCATGGTGATGGCATGCAATCTGCACTGGAATTTTATTATTTTACATTTTTTTGTTAGTGTATTAAAGTTGACACATATTTATAGCACTTTAGGGGGTATTCTGATGATTTAGGGAGAACATATGTAGTATAATGATCCAATTTGACTGCCCTGTTTGTACCCCCATTGTTTAGCTGAGACTCCCAAATCTAAGAGAGGTCAAAGATTTAGCCCAGTTCAGCTCTACTTAGTGCTTCCTGGGAGGGGCTGGGTGAAAGCCCCCCAAAGGCAAGCAGTGAGGAACAAGTCTGTGCCTTCACTAGCACGTTCTGAAGACAGTGGATGGAGTAGCTGATGGCATCGCTTTTATAGAAAAGCATTCTGTGGTCCTGATGTAAGCAGAGGAAGATAACTTTGAGGGGAAAATGGAGACATGTGTTATCTGTCACATGGTAAGATGTTATTTCAACTCTGTGGCTTTTCTCAAGACAGAAGAAAAGCTTAAAACATGCAGTATTGTATTGGTGTAAATCTCTTTAGTCATATGTTGGTATAATTAATCCAAGCAAAACTGATGTAGCTTCCACTTTCATTTCTTACATATAAGATTTTTAGACAATTTTATAAAATCTAGGACTCACTAACTGAGAGAAATCATGAAATATTCATCTTTCAGAGTCTGATTTATTTTACGTAGTATACTGGTTTTAGTTGTCTCATGTAAAAGGAGGCTGTGTGTGGGAATGCACAGGAGCAATGGAAGGGTGAGGGGGTGGGAAATATTATCATAACACAGGTCATATTTGTCAGATTACTGTTATGAAACCCATTTTATGTACAGTAATAAGCACTAATAAGAATAACACAGCATTGTGAGGGACATAATAAGGACTGGTTTCCTAAAAGTCCTGTCTAGGAGTTTGTGGCTGGAGAAAGAGAATAGTCATTGAGCAAGGCATGACAAGGAAAGCTTTACTTGGCCAACAAGATTTAGCTATTTTTTAACTTAGCATTGTTTTTTTTTTTTATAGAGAAATACAAGATCCCATCAACAACTCCGAAATCAACAACAGTTACTGTTCCAACTACAAGAGTTCCATTAACGTCTCCAAAACCAACCAGAGGTACAAGAGGTCCACCATTATCTCAGAAACCCACCACAGTTAGTGTTCCGGGTGCAAGCGGTCCACAAACATCTCAGAAACCCACCACAGTTAATGTCCCAGGTACAAGAAGTCCTCCATCATCTCAAAAACAAACCACAGTTAATATTCCAGATACAAGAGGTCCACAAACAACTCAGAAACCAACCACAGTTAATGTCCCAGGTATAAGAGGTCCACAGACATCTCAGAAACCAACCACAGTTAATATTCCAGATACAAGAGGTCCACCATCATCTCAGAAACCTACCTCAGTTAATGTTCCAGGTACAAGAGGTCCACAAACAACTCAGAAACCTACATCAGTTAATGTTACAAGTACAAGAGGTCCACCAACATCTCAGAAACCAACCACAGTTAATATTCCAGGTGCAAGAGGTCCACAGACATCTCAGAAACCAACCACAGTTAATGTCCCAGGTACAAGAGGTCCACAGACATCTCAGAAACCAACCACAGTTAATATTCCAGATACAAGAGGTCCACCATCATCTCAGAAACCTACCTCAGTTAATGTTCCAGGTACAAGAGGTCCACAAACAACTCAGAAACCTACCTCAGTTAATGTTACAAGTACAAGAGGTCCACCAACATCTCAGAAACCCACCACAGTTAATGTTCCAGGTACAAGAGTTCCACCCAAACCTCAAAAACCTACCAAAGCAAGTATTACATATACAGAAGACCCACTGACACCTCAGAAACCCACAACAGCAAATGTTCTAACTACAGAAGACCCACTGACACCTCAAAAACCCAACACAGCAAATGTTGTAACTACAGAACAGCCACCAATACCTCAGAAACCCAACACAGCAAATGTTCTAGCTACAGAAGACCCACTGACACCTCAGAAACTTCATCCAGCAAATGTTCTAGCTACAGAACACCCACCGATACCTCAGAAACCCAACACAGCAAATGTTCTAACTACAGAAGACCCACTGATACCTCAGAAAGCCAACACAACAAATGTTCTAGCAACAGAAATCTCTTCAACCCCACAAAAACTCAATACAGTAAATGTCCTAGTTAAAGAAGACCCGTTGAAACCTCAGAAACCCAACACAGCAAATGTCCCAGCTACAGAAATCCCACCAACACCTCAGAAAATTAATACAACAGTTGTCCCAGCTACAGACATCTCACTAACTCCACAGAAATCCATCACAGCAAAAAGTTCAACCACAAAAACAGCAACAGCTCAGATATCCCACATATCAAATTCTGTATCTGTGAAGAGCCCACCAATAGCTCAGAATCCTACCACAGCTAACCCTTCTGCTGTACAGACTGCACAAACAACCCAGAGATTTGCCACAGCAAAATCTTCATTCACACAGAATCTGCGAGCAACAGGAAAGCCCCCATTTCATACCAAGGGTCTCCAGATTGTTACACAAAGATTCACTTCTGCTCATATTACAGCAACACAGCATGTACCTGCTATCAAGACAACCACACATCATCCAACAAGAACAACTAAAGAGAAAGGAAGGTCTACCTCAGGTGAGCTGATTTTGTTCACATTTCCTGTGTGCAGGTCTAATATTTTGTGGTGGGAATTTAAGACTTCAGGGTTCCACAGTCTCCAACTGATTATGGTCACAGTGTTCCCGAGTCGTGCTTTGACATCCCTGCACAGTATAAGAAATATGTTAATATGGTAATTTTGAATTTTGTTAGAATCTGTGGAAAGGGACTTGAGTGTCTGACAGTTTTTATTATGGGTTTTTATCCTTGTTTTTTGAGCCAGTTTCATCATGTAGCCCAGGATGATCTTGAACTCTTGATACCCTCTGTCTCTGCTTCCCAAATGCTGGCATCACAGACCTGTGCCTCCATTCTCGGTTTGGTAGTTTTTGATCATAGATTATAGCCATTTATTTTCTATTCAAGCTTTTCTTTTTTTTTCTATTCAAGCTTTTCAAACTTGTTTCTTGTCATCAAGTCACATAACAATAAGTGTAAATATTTGCTTTGGTGTTCTAGAATTGTTGTGGCTTATATTGACATTGGCAACTGTCCAACAGATTCAAATATTAGTGCTCATGCTGAAGTAAATAATGTATAATTGTGTTTATTATATATATACATATATATGATTGGTTTTTTAGTTTATGAAAGTTTGTATAGCTAACTAATATATACATATATTAAGTTGTCAGCAAATGAGTGAAAAGTTAAAATGTTTAGTTTTATAACTATTCCTCTCCCTTTTTATTTTTTAGGTGGTGACCGTCTTATAACTGGTAAGTTTGACTCACAGGGAGTTAAAAGAAATTGCCAACACTGTGGGAGGCCTAATCAGTATCTGTGGAAGAGAATTTTATCTTTTAACTGTCTGAGGAAAACTATAAAGATGCGGTGTCTATGGGCACCCAAGGGAAGATGGGTCCATGCATTTTACCAGCATGTTTTGTGGACACCGTTAGGCACCCGGTATGCTCCATCATATTCCCAGCAGTGTTCTTGTTCTAAGGAAGCCATAGGACAGCTTCAGATCATTTGGCCAGTCAGTCGGGTAGCACTGACGGCCCAGTGTGTCAGTATGCTGTCTTAGGGACAGAAGAAGGATAAAAGCAGCTGTCAATACAGTTTCTATCCAAAGAGCTGTGTAATTAACTGGCTCTTGTTTTAAACTCTTGATCTGAAACTCCAGTTTTAAATCTCTGTTACAGTCCAGATGTGACAGGGCTCATTCTCGATGACAGCTCCCTCCACCTCTAATAATCATTTTGTTCTCTTAAAAATATATTCTGTCCTGGGTGGTAGCACACGCCCTTAAACCCAGCACTCGGGAGGCAGAGGCAGGCGGATCTCTGTGAGTTCGAGGCCAGCCTGGTCTACAAGAGCTAGTTCCAGGACAGCCAGGGCTACACAGAAAAACCCTGTCTCGAAACACAGCAAAACCAAACAAACCAAATATATGTTCTTAATGCTGATATAGCCAATGAGGGTAAAAATGTCAGTGTTGAATTTCCCTAGCATTTGCACAGGTTTTTTCTTTGTACAGTATTGTTTACTGCTATTTATTAACAAGGTCAACAAACCCCTGAACAAAATAGTAAGAGAAATTGTTAAGTAGCAATATAGCAAAGTAGATCCTGAAGTAATGTGCAACTGAAAATACCCTATTATGAAAAGCTGTTTATTTTAAAACTATGTGCTTACCAGTGATGTCCCTATTTCCTACATGAACATGTCAGCCAAGGGACATGAACCTGAAAGTGGAGACTTAGTTTCTATTGTTACTTTTACCAGTGTTTGCCACATTTGGTCTATGTTTAAGCTAAGTGTTCATTAGAAATAGCTCAGCAGGTGGGATTGCTTGTGTTCATTTTATATTTTATAGAAATAAATATACTCTAAGCTAACAAAAAATCTTCTGATTTAATGCTTTGTAGAAGTGATGAGTTCAATGCCCGAGTTTCTGTTACTTACTTCGTGGTCTTTGTGGAGATTTGAAATACTTATTATTTCATGTTTTTTAAATAAATGTAGTTTTTATAGTGCAATTCAGGTCTTGCACATATCAGGCAAAAGCTCTGCTGATGAATGGCACCCCTCTACTCTAGTTCACACTGAAATTCTTCAAATGTGTGCACTTCTTTTCAGGAGACTTTCTTCAGGGTATGTTGGGATTTACCTGTGTTTTGACAACTCATTCTTGCAGTCAGACAGCTGGTGAAAGTGTTACTTCGCAGATTTACCCTTGAATCAGGTCATTACCTCCCACCCTGCAGAGAAGATGGTTATTCCTTCATTCTCTCACCATAGACAACTGGGAGTGTTTTTCACTTAATTTTTAGTGGGTGTGCAGAGAAGTGAGTGTCCCTTGGAAGTTTTTATGTGTATTTATAATTATGCTTTATCCCTGGGAAAATGCTTTTGCCGGTTATATGGTAATACACTAGAAAATTTGCAGTTTTCCCCACTTAATTCCCTCTAAGTGAATGTAGAAATCATTAGAGTTCCTTAATTTGCCTTAGAAATGCCATTGGTGTGGATTTTAAATGTTTGGACACTGGCTTTGCCAGGGCCAGTCCCTGCCCCATCTCTGTCTTGTCTTCCTCCGCTAAGAATCTCTTCAGGCATTTTCCCCCTGATTTATCACCACACATGAAATACTAATTCCACCCCCACACTGTAAATCAGTTTATTCTGTCTATATGCCTGTACTTTGTGCATATATAAAAATAATTTTCCTGTACTTTTTACATATATAAGAACCCCTTTTCCAAATGTAACCTCGACAGTCTCAGTTATTCATGATGGATCACATGTCATGCTGCTAGATTCACAAGTGAGACATTGTGAAAAGATGGGGCAAGCCCACATGATGTGACAAGCACCATTTAAGGAACACCAGTTGACAGAAACATGTCTGACTTGATTTTTAGCCAGGAAATGATAGTCTATATATTAATCAGAACCTCGCCTGATATATAGGTTTTTTGAATAATTCCACATATTTTAAAAATCATGCATATATTTTTATTATTATGTGTGTGGGTTTGCGCACATGAATGCAGAAGTGTTGGATCCACTGGAGCTGTTAGTGACCACTTGTGGGTGTTGGGAACTGAACTTAGCGCCTCTACAAGAGGAGTGCTTGCTCTCAACTGCTGAGCCATCTCTCCAGCATATCTAATATTTTCATCCAAATGTTATGAGCCATCAAAACTGTGGCCTGAACTTCGGGTTAAAAGTAAGGTTTTTGTTAGCAATGCAGAACAATAATGAACAAAAATCTTCATTATTTGAGCATAGATATGTTGATTCATGCTTTTGAAATAGCTTTTCATTTCTGCCACCCTGGCAGGTTCATGTTTATATTTTCTATCTTCATTTTTCCTTCAAATTCTAAGTTAGACATTGAAGTAATGAGATTCATGAGAACTTGGGAGAGGAAGGGAATCGCAAAACTTTGGAGCAATCTGGATTAAATTGTCTTTCTGAACTAATAGTGTGGGGCTGGGGGATCAGTTAAAGAAGCAGCAGGTAAGACGCTGTACAAGTCCCCCTGTCGTGGGAATCACTGATTCTCAAGTTGTGCACACAAGCACAGTTGTGCAACATCCGTGCTTGGGTTATTAGACGTGTCAGCTTTGCTTGCTGTTCTCTGGTCATCTGCAGTCCCCTTTGGAGTACAAATCAAACGAGTGGAGTCTAGGGACAGAGAGCGGGGCAGAAAGGAAAGGGGGGGAAAGGCTGATGCGAGGAGACAGCAGGTGGAGCATTTGCCCATCGTGTGCAAGACCCTGCCTTCCATTCCAGACCAGAACCAAACAAACAGCAGCAAACCAGGCTATGAAAGTAGTGGAGCACTTACCAAATTCCCTTTGCTGTTGTTCCTCTCCAAAGGGCTCTTGTAGTAAGGTAAATCCCGTACCGAGATGGGATTGTGCGTGCAGTGGCAGAGCCCTGAGAAGCGTACTCTGCAGGCAAAGTCAACACTGTTTGCTCTGTAGTCCCGCGGCCGCATCTTCCCCGTGGGGGAACGTCATGTGTTGGTTATGGGCTCTACAAACGGCCTCTTTACAAAACGTACATAGCTTTTCCCTGAGGTTCAAATTATTTACCTACCGAATGTGAGTGAATTCCCGGGTACCTTCTAGATCTAAATTTGCATCTTTTGTCAGCACCTTCCACTGACTGATCAGCAAAGCACATCAGTTGGAGCAAGGTTATGTGGACACACTGCCCATTGCTCCCAGTGCTGTCAGGTCTTACTACTGAAGCACTGAGACGGCTCAAGTAATTTACTTGTTTCTCCTTCCAAGAAGACAAGTGAGTGACGTGCAGTATTTATTACTGGGTCTCTGGCATGAGGAAACCACATGCAAAATGCAATTCATTTCTCCTGTTTATTTT